CTCTGTCATACTTATAGAAGCAAAACTCCCTGGATTTGGTTGTGAGGTTGATCTACTTGCTTCCTTCAATTACACAACTTTTTGTCGTAGACTTTGAACTTCTTCCATAGGTGTAGGCATAGTACTTCCATGATTCACTTTACAAATACTTGAGATTTCTACTCTAAGAGTGTTAAAAAGCTCATGAAGATCTTGAAAAGTTACAAATCTATTCTCACTTCTACTAGATGTAGCGTCCATAATCTTTCCTTCTATAGGCAACTCAAACAAATCCAAAAAGTTGAATTAGAGGAAGGTAATTTGTAACCTCCAATAAAAAAATCCACAAAGAAGGATAATCCACTCTCTTTAAGAAAAGATCAGTATTAGAAAATAAGATTATTTTTTTTTATTTGTTTGTTTAAAAACTAGGTAGTCGGCAACCTTTAAAATACAACAATAGAAGTGGGATAATTCACTCACTTCTAAAATAGGAAAAAAATAATATATTAGTACTCTTGTCAAATTGTCAAGGACATGAATCTCAAAGAAAGAGAATCCTCGATACACTCTTGTGTCACTAAAGAGAACTAGAAAGTCACTCAAAAGGTAATGTAATATTAACTAGAATGGCTATTGCCAAAAACAAAAAGACTAGAAAGTCTTGAAACAAGACCTAGGACTAAAATAGCATTGAAAAGAGTGAAGAAGGCTTCATTCTTGCCTCCATATATATTCATAACTAGGAGCTACATGGAGATGTTTTATAGGACCTCCAAAACATGTTGACTTTGCTAGCCACATGTCTTAACTTGCAAGACAAGTTATCTATGTATGTGCCACATGATTAGCTTGTTCCACAAGCTATTATGCGGAGTCAACTTGTTCCACAATCTACCAACATGTGGTTAACTTGTTGGCTAAGTTTCTGACCTACAAACACATCTAAAGTCAAAACCGCATCTATGAAGCTTCTAAGAAGCTTTACTAAAAGACTTTATAAAATTAATCTATATTCACCTACTTCTACCTAATCATATAAGTAATCATTGAAGTAAATGTATATGTCCGTGACACATATTTTTGATCTTGAATAAATAAATAAAAAAAAAATATTATTATTATTTTTTAAAAAAAATACTATTAAATAGCAAGTCTTTTTATTTTGTTCTAAAAAGTTTTTTTATTGTAATATACTTAAATAATATATTAAAATAATTTAAAATTAATGCTAACTTTTAAGTTCTTAAAATAGTTATATAATAATAATAATATCAAATCTCTCTCTCTCTCTCTCTCTCTCTCTCTCTATATATATATATATATATATATATTTTATGTTTAGAATCTGGTATAAACCAAAAATTAATTTTATTTAGTTTAATGATAATTACTTGCAAAAATATGTATTCAAAAATTCAATTATATACAATAAAAGATTACAAAATAAGAGTTTCATATAAAATAAAGTAATAATTTTTATAAAAATAATTTTAATATTTACAACTAATGTTTAATTTTTTAAGAAGATTAAATTAATCATTAAAAAGATTTCTATATAAATAAAAATAAAAATTTCTAATTTAGATAAATACAAAGTGATAATCAGTTTGAATTTCAATCAACCATTGTAGTTAGAAACTTCAATTTTAGTTACTATGTATATATATATATATATATATATATATATACATCATATATAATATATGATTTATTTTATTTTATTTTAATTTTTTTTATTCTTAAAATAATATTTTATATGGTTTTTGGTATAACATAATGACTAAGAATAAAATACATTGCATAAAAAAATATGTATATATATATATTAAAAATTAAATATTAAACATTTACATTATTTGCTAATATGAATTATTTATTCTTTAAACTAACTATTAACCATTGAGTGTCTTGAATAAATATTCTAATATATTTTATTAAAATTTCTCTATCTATCAAGGTACATAATTTATTACAAAAGAAATAATATGTTTATTTTATTTTATTTTTGTAGATACATCTATTAGATTAAAACCATTTCAATAATTATTATATATATATATATATATATATATATATATATATATATATGTGTGTTTGTATGTATATATATATATATATATATATATATAAATTATATTGCCTGTTTGCTAATTAATATCATTTTTATAGAATAAATTATTTTTCTTTAGAAGTTATTAATTATTATAGTAACAAACACTACTAAATACATAAATTCTAAATAGAGATTGTTTCAAGTTTTTAATTAATTACTAGAGATTATAAAGTTTTGAGGGCTAATTATTAAGGAAGTAAGCATAGATATATATATATATCAATTCTAAATCACATTGCTCAAAATGCACATTTTTAAAGACTAAAGTATTTAAGATTATTCAAGGAAAAAAATCAAATTAAATTGTAGACTTGCCAGAATGTGCTCAATTAACTAAACAAGATAATAAAAAGCAATAAAATTTATACATAACTAGAAATGTGAACAATTTTATGTGCAAATAGCACTTGTACAAAAGCAATGTAAGTGTATAATTTTAAAGCATAACATTGGTATGTAGTAATAATGCTTACAAAGAAATAAAACAAATACAAGGTTGCATAACTTTTTTTCACATGCAAAGAAATGAGGAAAAAAGAATTAAAAATCTCAAAATTTAAAGTTTACTACTTCTTATGTTAAAAATTTTGGAAATTGGTCTCATTAAAAGATTTTAAAGTAAATTGCATCATTATTAATTATTTTTTATAGAATCATTATATTTTTTTGAGGTAAAAGAAATAAATATTCACATATTTAAAAATCATAAAGTACAATAAATTTAGTAAAAATAATTGGCTACCTAAAAAACCAAATGGTTATTGTCAAAAATACAATGTCAAGTTAGTCTTTTTACAACCTCTTTGTCTAAGCAATTAATGGTATTTTTAGAAATAATAAACCCCATATTAATCATATTCATTCATATAATTTATCTTTTATCTTTTCATCCTTAAAAAAATCAAAAAAAAATCAAAAAAAATTTAACAAGAAGGTGCATAAACTTTTAGTGTGTATATACACATCTACTATTATATGTGAAGTTCGTTTCCAATTATAAAGACACCTTTTGTATTTAGTCAAATTTATTTTTTATAATATGACTCATAAAAATATTTATTTTTTTATAAGATTTTATATTTGAATTATATATTTTTATTTAATATGCAAAAAAGAATCTATTGTGTGAATCTTTTTACTCAAAAATTTGTACTTACAAGTTTTTAAGCAAAAAATAATAATCCTTTTGTTGGTTGTATTTAATATATGATTAAAAAAAGATAATAATTAGAACTAAAGGAGTTAGAAAATTTTCTACAAAACCAATACATATCTTTTTTGCAAGATTTGACAAAAATAGTTGAAAAATTATAATATTTATAAATATATTTTATAATATTTAATAAATTACATTTATAAAATTTTATTTTATTTTATTACTACTTATTATTGCATTTTTTTATATTTAAAATCTTAATTCTTTTAAATATCTTAGAAGTTATAATTTTATCTTTTATCTTTCAATCTACAATGTAATAATTGTGTGTGGATATTTAGAAGATAATGTAAAGTGGCTTCATGCAATGCAAGATGTGGCAGCAGAAAAATTCTAAGTATAGTAAGATAATTATTTGACAAAAAAAATTCTTTTTGAGATCTTTTGGATGTTAAAACTTTGTGAGATGCAAATATTATAATTATGATCAAAGGTAATGTTTCCAAATTACACTTATAGAAGTCTATTCTTGAATTAAATTATTATTTTTTTATTATTAAGATATTATAAGATATCAAATTTTTACAAGAATTATTCATTGATATTTTGGGTCTAACTCAATTAAATGACAAGATAACCAATTACTTGGTAGCTGCACAAGGATGCCAACTATTATCAATCTATATATTATATAATCTAATTAAAAAAACTAAGTTTTTAATAACATTTATTAACTTAATGAAAGACAATGTATTCCATATGGTAGAAATGTAGCTATTGAAATTGACATTAATTAAAAAAATAAATAAATATTATTATTATTAAACCAAGAAATATATTAAAGTATATTTTAATGGAATTTTATTAGCATTTTTGTGTAGAAGTCACAAATTATTAGATTTTTTTCTTTTATTATTATAACTTTATCATTTTTAAGTAAAAGAAATAATACTCTCTACTTTTATGATTATGTTTTTTATAAGTATAATGTAATAAATTATTTTTCTTGTAGAATTTGAATTTAAATGATTGCTAAAATTTATTATAATATTTATTTGGAATAAAGCACCAATAACCAATAAGAGTTGTTTTAAGACTACGAATAGATTATTATCAGATATTATTAAAAACAATAAGCCATTTGATGGAATTTTTTTTGTATTTGGCAAGAGCTTTTATCTAATTTGGTTAGTTTTTTATCAAAGTATAAGAATTTAAATTTTTTATGTAGGTTTGAATTTATTGTATTAATTACTATCTATATAAAAATATGATTGAAAATCAATATAAGTTTGCCCAAAGTTGATAGCATTAAAGGATATAAAAATAGAAACTTTGTACAATATGTACAATACGTACTTCATATCAGCAAAGGATTAATAATCCACCAATATTGATAATGATAAGATTGTATGTATTGTATAATACGATTATCCAAAAAATTGACATATAATCATACAAAAATTATTGAAAGAAAAAAATAAAAATAAAATAAATTAAAATGTGATAGCTTCGCCCATGAGCGTACATTGATTCCGGAATCTGTCGACAGAGTGTGGGTGATGTGACTACAGAAACTCATCCATCCACTGAATCAACAACAGACAGATTCCTGAAGGACGAAAACCGCGGATAACGGTTGATTTCTTGCTGTGGATGGATGAGGAGTTAGTCATCGGGTTGCATCGGGTTGCCTCGATGTTAGCTGAGCTCTGGGCTATTCTGACAATTAAGGAAACAGTCCGACGTGAAAGCTCTTTCACGTCGCTCTGTCCGCATGGGCCCCCGACGCCCCCTCACAGGCCACTCCTCAACGTTGCTGTGTTGTTCTCTTCCCCACGGAGCTGCATCTTCTTCGATCTCCGTGCGCTTCTCATTCGTTGTTGCTGTCTGCTCGCGGTCAAACGATACAGGTTCGAAGATTGACGTCATTTTACTCATTCATATGCACTTCTACATGATTTTTAAAACAAAAAATCAATCGATAGATAGCCGATCATTCGGTGTTTTTGTGGTGCGTAGCGAGCTGGAATTTTTGAGAGCTCCTTCGTTGTAGTGTGGCGGGATAGTTCAACTTGGAGTCGTTTGCTTGATGTTTTAAGATTTCAAGCCGGAATTGGAGATTAGTTGGCGGTAGTCGGAAGGCAACGTAGGTGTGTGTCGATGAAATGATTCTGGTTCTAAACTACAGCGTCGACGAAGGTGGTTCTTGTCTACCAACGGGTGGTCTCCGTTGACACATCGTGTTTAACCGAATAAGGTGTGTGGATGTATTTGGAGTACAGGTTGTGGTGCATGTTGTGGAAGCCAGCAGGGATGCTTTTGAGGCAACTTCAAGGATTTCGTTTTTGTTCTTTTGACGTGGTGAGGTTTGAGTTGCATAGATTCTGTAGATGCACTGATATTTAGCACATAAACATGCTCCTTACTTAGACGACATGCTGAGAAGCTGGACTGGAGCTACCGAGTTTCAGACAAAAATGTATTCATCAGCATAAGTATGCCTGCTTGCGCATTAAGGTCAGTTTTAAATCTGTCATAACGCAACATGACAGATGGTGCGGATTTACGAGTTTCTGAGTGAAACCGCATTAGATTCGTCCATCCAGAGCAGAAAGTTGGAAACGGAATGTGAAGCTAACGTTCGAGTAATATTCTAGGAAGTTTGAAGATTAGGAGGAGCTAAAATGTGTTAGGTGCAGTCATCAGGGAATACTGGAGGATGAAATAACAGATGGTGTAGTAAGGAAGTAAACTGTGGAAAATGTTGAAAGGGTCACGATTTCACTTGGTCAGAAATGCATTGAGACCTCCGGTGTTCGAGTTTTAGTTGAATGCGCATTGACAATCTGACGCTAAATGATGCTCTTTGCACAGGGTAAACTTTTACAGTGCACAAATTGACCTGCGTTCCAAGGCGCATTTGCTAACCATGACGTGCTTCACATGTGTCACCTTCGTTTTATTAAATTGAACAGATATGTATGACAATATGGAGAGAAATTCTAATATAGGCTAGAGCTGTTATGATATGGCTCCTTTTTCACTCCGGACAAACTGCCCTACTTACCATTCTTGAAATTTCTTACAGGTCAATAGATGAACTGAATGTGTGATTGGAGTGCTCGCGCAAATTCTGATCAGAGACTTTGATCCAAAAATGTAAGAAGCTGAAAGATCCAGGAGGCCGTTTTGGGACGATGGTATGGACTCGTTTATACCTTAGTCTAGGAAATTCGAAGGATTTGGTTTCCAGGTTTGTCATTTTACGTGAAAAGGTGAAAAGGTGAACAGTTCCCGAAGATGAAATCAGGTGTGCGACACTGCACATCACCTGCTCTTTTAATTCTCTTGTTCTTTCCTGTCATATCATTCATCAGAAGTTCAATTCAGAATACATGAATGCAGGGGGGAGAAAAACCTCAGATATCAATATCATTAAATGGCGATTTGGTATATGAACTTTTACTTCCACAGAGCTTACCCATTCATAATATCTCGGTATCTGAAGGGATCTTATTAAGCACGCATTAAATTTTAATGATCACTTTTGGCATTTATTCTTTCTAAGTGTGTGACTAACTACATATTAAAGATTCACTGTCACGAAACAAGTTTTGGACGAAGGTCATCGTAAAGTGCTTGAAAATTACAGAGCGTCATTGTGGTATAGTGAACTATCAGTGGCTGTGCTATAGATCCCTAGCTGGAATTGCTCTTGTGTGAAAAACTTTATGGTGGAATGCCATAAAAGATTTAGCTCTATCTTCTTTGATGTAAAGGGCGGCGCGTCAAATGTGGAGAGGGGTCTTCGTCCGGTACTGAGAGGTGAAAGGAAATTTGCGTTGGGTTGGCCTAATCTTCTATTTGAATTGCTCCTCAAGCCGCTTGGCAGCTTTGTTAAATCCTGATAGACTGTGTTTCACTTAGGAATCAATGCTGGTTCGAAGGAACTTAGTCGAGAAATATAGAATGAGTCCCTCATTTGTTAAGTCAGAATTGTATGCAGATCATGAGTCTTTGTAAGATCTGCAGAATCATAACACACACAAATGGAATTTAGTGTTCGGATAGTGTAATGATTGTGTTCAACGTAGATCCTGTTTCATATAGTGCTGTGTGAAAGGGATCATTCTGCGAGCAAAGAATCTGAATGCTTTCAGACCATTTAGTTGGATGCACCTTTAGTTTTTATTGTATTTCCAATTTGACAAGTAATAATCAGTACTGGTGTGTGTTGACCATGGCAGAGGGACTTAAGGAATTCTCTCGCAAACTTATGAATGTTGATGCATTCATTCCTGAGATTCAAGGATGGATTGAACAGAAGCTTCAGCTTTCTCTTTCAGGAGAGACCGGGTTCCATTCACCTTTTCAAGTTGATCAGCTTCGGTTACTCGATTATTCATTAGTAAGCATGTCCCTTCAGCAGCTGCTACGAATGCCGGTTTCTCAGACATGTGCTTCTTTACCAGGTAAATTCTTTGGCTGTTGCAGCTACGTCTAGACAGCAGGGATTCTCTCGACGTGAAGAGCTGTTGCAGAAGGCTGATACTAAGGGGTTCAATTTTTGAAAAAATCTTTTAGCAGAGCCTGCTGTATGTCTTGCTGTGGAAGATTTTATGCATACGGCAACGCAACGGCTGTGGGAGACGTTTTGGGATGCATCCGAAGAACCTGCGCCAACGCCATTTTATATTTTAGGTCCACAAACCTCTGCTTCAGAATCTATTTCGGTATTTCCGTTTCCCATAACTCTCCCCCAGTTTGAAGTTTATTTTTCTTCTATTTGAAGACAATTATTCGTCTCAAGAAAACGGTTAATTGTTTCAGTGCATTAAACGCTGGATTCTAATAGGTTGTATGGAGGCCTTGGACATCTATCACCGTGCATCTTGGAATTCAAAATGGAAGAAAATATAATAAAAGTAACAAAAGAAAAAAATATAGGAGATTAAACGATTTTTGAGTCACAGTGATGTTTGCTTTTGTTCCGAATCGCATTTTGATATCATCTTACCAGCGATTCGTTCATCGACAAGATCACTCATCAATGTGAAGGCCTTGGTTTTCGATAAGGTGAGTTCACTGGAGCGAGAGGCACCACTGCCTGGGGCTGCTATTGTTGCCAGAAATGGTTCCAGTGGAAAAGGTGGACGTGTACTATGGGACCATGTTGCCGCATATGTCGAAGTAAGAGCGGACATTACAGGAGCTAATTCTAAGAGTTTGATGTCGGCTACATCTTTAGAGGTTATTGGGCGCGCTCTTTTTCACGGGCTTCTGATGCTTACATCGAGATCTCTAGCTAAAAAACCATCAGTCCATTACAATGCTGATACTGCCTACATTTTACTTGTGAATTCAAGAAACGGTGGCGTTGTTAGGCTCAAAGGGGATGTTTCGAAATTGGAAACCAATACAGACAAAGTGTATGAGCGTGCTGCTGAGTGGATTAAAGAACAAGCGCAAGTTACTGTGTGTCCATTGGAACAAGTGTGGAATAGGTTTGGGAATGCAAATTGGGGAGATATAGGTGCTATGCAACTTTTACTTGCAATTTTCCACTCAATTGAGCAATGCCGAGGTCCTCCTAGGAATCCACTCGCAGAGATGGCAGCTTTGCACAATGGGAGAGTACAGCGTAGACTGATGAAACGTGAAAGTTTGGAGATGCAAGAACCGGGTGAAACAGGATCTTCACAGCTTAGTAATTCGCTTCAACGCAGCAGCCGGCGTGGGATTCTTGAAATAGAGGAGGTGAGAGAGGTTGGAGACATAATTCCTGATGTTATTGATTTTAGTTTGGTCCATTTGTTAACTCTCAAAGATGGATCACAATGTAGTATTGTATTGCAGTCTATGGAAGTCCCCGACTAACTCAGTTGACAACCATAGAGTGCTGGCGAGCTTTTACAGCTTAGTCCGTTTTCTCCAGCTTAAATCGTTACTATCTAGCTGTTAGATCTCCTGTCCACTACTCTCCACTTTTTCACTTGTGTGCTTTTTTGACAGAATGTTTCTATGGTTTTCATGTTCAAGAGTTTAACATGTTACAGTAAGTACTAGGCAAACCCTTACAGCAGGGGCGATCCATCTTCTGCAAGCGTTTACCAGATGGATTTCGCCTTTTGATTCAAGTTCACAAATCTTTGAAGGTTCTAACAGCAACTGGCATATGTGAAATTGCTATGCTTTTCTCTAAAAATGTACAGATTTTGAATTGTCTTCTCAAATTTTGCTTTTTGTAACAGGAGGTTAAGGGCAAAGATAGCCGACTCGCCTCTGAACATATTATGAAGCTGGAACCAGGCACAATTTTTTGGCTTGAGAGCGCCCATTGGCAACGAGGGTTCCAGATTCAGGGGCTCCTTGGCAGAAGGAATTCCTCTGTGTATAGTGCAATATCTCTGGACGAGGTTGGAAAACCTCTTGCTGTTCATGTTGGAGCACATGGTATGAGGTAAAAATTTTAAGGGTTGAGCGCACTTTGCCGTTGAGCACTTCGGCGCTTGGAGTCTCGATATTTAGAACACCTAAACTCTGCTCATCGAAAGTCAATTACGAACATAGCTGTTATTTCAATGGTATTTTCTTGACATAGTCATACATCTCTGTATTGACACAACAAATGCGTGGGCCAGGTCCAGAGGCAGACGCGAGTGTTGAATACAATGCAACAGAGAGGTATTTCCAGCAAATACTTGGCCCAGATTATTGCCTCCGGCAGACTGATGCACCCAGGGCCTTGCTCAAAGAAGAGTTCAACGAGTCTTTGTGATCATCCTTGGTGTGGAACTCCAGCTCTAGTCACAGCTCCTATAGGAGAAACTGTATACTTGATCTTTGAAAGAGAAGGTTTGTTTCCGGTTGAAGAAGCCCTTCGAATATGCCATGATTGTTTGTCAGCACTGCGAAGTGCCAGCTCAATCGGGATTCAACACGGAAATATCACCCCGGATCACGTCATTCGAGTGACAGGCAGTGATGGAGAGCATTATTATGTTGTGTCGGACTGGGGTCATGCTGTTTTAGAGGAGAGGGACAGTCCTGCTTTGTCTCCACAGTTTTCGTCTACAGCAGCTTTACAAGATGGAAAACTATTTCCTGCTTCTGACACAGAGAGTTTGGTATACCTTCTTTACTACATCTGTGGGGGACTTATTCCAGAGTTCGATAGTATGGAAGCAGCCTTGCAGTGGAGGGACGGGATATGGGCACGGCGGATCATCCAACAACAATTAGGCGAGGTGTCTGCTGTTTTGAAGGCCTTTGCAGATTATGTAGACACTCTTTGTGGCACCCCGTATTCTGTTGATTGTGATATATGGCTGCATCCCTTGGCGCGAGCGCTTGGTATTGATCCCAGCAAGAGTGAACTCTCCTCTGAACGCTTGAAATGTTTGGCTGAATCTTCTGGAACTTCTGCACCTTCAAAAAGCTGAAATATTCATGATCGTGATTCCTCCACTACATTTTATCAAGGGAGTCGTAAAGACTTAGTTGAAGCAGTGGAGGAGGTTCCAGTGCATGGCTCTTTATAACTCAACCACTGAGCTGTTCCAAACCTGAAGATCATCGACTGAGCGGTCTTTGGAAGAGCTAGACCCTTGATGGAGAGAAAATCTACTGCTCAAGATAGTTTGGAATTTAATGTATCCACAACTCTTAATACACAAGAGTACTGGGCAGACTTGTTCCACACTTCTAGAGATTGGAAAAGTTGAGATTGGTTTGTTGTTGGCAAAAATTGATGCCATGGCTTTTTATGATGTGAAGATAAAACATTTGAATTATTCAGAATTAATATGTGAAGAGATCACAAACCTTGATTTCCTTAAAGGAAGTGTGATTACACCTTTAAGGTGTATGTTTATCAGTCATTTAAAAAGTGCTTATATCAATTATATAATTAATGTTTAAAAAGTGCTTATATCAATTATATAATTAATGTATTCTATTTTTTTTGTAGAAGAAAGAACTACCATTAGGAACTTTTTCCTATGCCAAGATAAGATTTTTATAGTCTTTATATAAAAACATCAGGTCCCATCTTTAATCAATGTTAAAATTGGATTGCATATTTTTGTGTTAGTTTTTTTTTTTAAGTTAGAATAAGAATATAGACAAATAATCACATTTTTCTTAAATATCTAGAATATTTTTATTTCTTTATTACACTAAATAATAATTATATTTGTCTTAAAATATATTCTATATTTACAAATATTAAAGGTTGGAAAAAATAAAATAAAATATGTACAACCTAAGTATAAGAAAGACAAACTTTGATTGCTTAAAAGAGGCATTAGTATCCAATTGGTACTTGACAAATCATTGGTTGAGAGGAAGTAGTAAAAAGATTCAAACCAAAATCTAAGAATTTGATTTAATTTTAATAAGGATTTGTGTGAGAAGAAAAATTCAGATTTCTTTATAGATTCTATGAATCTTCAACTTGCAAGAAAAAAATCCTCTTTTTAAATGTACTATTAAGAAATAAAATTATAAATTTTATTTAATAAATAAAATAATTTTAAACTTTTGCAAGAGATAAAAACATGGGCAAAGATGTCATCTTAATAATTAAAAAATATATATATCTAAGTAATGAAAGTCTTCATGTTGAAAAAACGTGTATCACAAAACAAACATTATGTTGAGATACCATTGAAATTATATTTTCAAAAAAATAACCATTTAATGCTTGTAATAGAGTAATTAAGAAGGTACTTAATTAAAGTCAATTTTTTTATTGTGAAGTAAGAATGTATAATCCTCTTTTGTAATAATATGCCAATAAGAAGAATTAGATTCATGAAGCATCTTATAAGATAGAATCAGTGTCAAATATTTATATTAAAAAGAAAAAAAAATGCTATATTGTCATAAAATTATAAAAATACCCATTGGTTCTTATAAAACTATTAAAAAGTTTTAAGTAAATAAGAATTCATAAAGAAATTTTGTTATGATTAGACTTGGATTAGAATTTTATCAATTGGTGCAATAGATTACAAAAATCAATATTTGGAGGTAGAATTTTATTTGGAGGTAGAATTTTATTTGGAGGTGGCAAACCAAGAAGCTAAGATGTTGGTCTTAAACTTGTAAGAAGATCGTAAATCTTATTAAATTCAATAGGAAGTGAAAGTAACTTATTAAAAATGTCATCAAAATATGTTTTTCTAGAAAATAATAAATGTTTTGAAAAAATTATACCTGAATTTTGAAAGAAGTTCCTTGTACCAAGATAGTATAGTCTATAATCTTTAATACCCATATGCTTGTTATAAGCTTCAAACATACATGGAATAGTTTTGATATTAAGATTTAATTTTATTTTTATTAATAAAATAAATATATCTAAAATATTTAAAAATACATAGGATTGTTAGATTAGGCTTATTCCTATTTAAAATTTGTAAAATATGACTTGATTAAAAGTTGATATGTATGAATAATTTTATAAATAATAAATCATATAAAATAAATAACCAATATTTATAGTTTAAAATATATTATAAGCTAATTCCACAAGATTTCGAATTTAGCATTCTAATTTACTATTTTAGTAATATTCTATAATTTTTCTAAATACTATTGTATGCCATAATCAACCAAAAATTACAGACAAGTTTTAGAGATGAATTCTCTTTTTAACCAAATGTAAAGTAAAAACTCGTTTTATTAAATGATTCTTAATAAAAAAATTATACTAAATAAAATTATATAGTGTTGTTGAATTCTTTTTAAAAAGTAAGTCTATATATCTATATATATATATATAAGATAAAAATAAAACCCTTTTAAAAAAAGATTTGTAAGTTTCTACAAATCTGCATAAATAAGAATCAATGTTTTAGTAATTCTCATAACATGACCATCAAAAAATAATATTTTATATTGTTTTTTAAAGGTGCACCTTTTACATTAATGAACTGAAGTTTTAAGTGGAAGAAGCCTAATAACTAACTCTTCTAGTTTTACCATGCATAAAGAATGCAAATTGATATCATCAAGTTGGTGGTGCAATTTTAAAGTGAAAAAGTTTAACTTGGTTGAAGTTATAGCAATATTGACTAGAATAAGAGATTCAAAGCCTATTTTATGAGGAAATAGATTTTTTTTTCTTTAGGTATTCAAATAATTTTAGGTTTATGGTTTTTTAAAGACAATGTTTTGATAATGGATGTATTTCTTATAAAAGACAACAATATTATTACTTTTATATATTATATAAATTATCAACAACATGTACTTAGCAAAGCTAAATATATAAAAAAATACAATAATCATAAGTAAGGATTCTTTTGTAAAAGGACTTAATAATATTAAATAAAAAATAATTGTATTGTAAAAAATATTATTAGTTAGTATGCTAGTTTTGAATGTTAAAAGTTTTTACTAATTCCAAAAGAGCTTTTTAAATTGAAATGTATTTTGTATTATATTAGAGTCAAGATACCAAGATTTAGATACAAGTGCAAAATTAACTATTTTATTAAATTAAATATATATATATATATACATATATATATATTCTTATTTTTTTATTTATTTTTTTAAAAAAAATCATTTGTGTAAAATTTGATATTGCTAAAAAAAACATTTAAATCAAATTACTACCTAAAGTATCTACTTAGTAATAAAGAACGGATGGTTGATTGACTAAAGACCAATTACAACAAAGAAACACAATTGGTTCTATTGTTATGTATTTTTTCTTTTTTTCTTGGTCAACATTTTGTTTTAGAGTGGTCAATTTTTGACTTAACCAAAAATTAAGCTTTTACATTTTTTTTGTGACCATCAATATAGGTTTCTATTAGTGAATTAATCTAATTACTGGAGAAAGTACTAAAATCATACAGAAAGTACTTTTCTAAATTTTCAAGTTTATATAACAAAATTCTTTTAATATTCATGTTTATGCAATTCTTTTATCTACATTATATATATATATATATATATATATATTTTTGTTAACAAAAGAATTATTTCTTTTTATCTTAAAAACATCGAAACGGTATGAAATCTAATTTTTTTTTTTAATTGATTGTACCAACTCAATGTGGAACTGCCAATCTTCAAACCTAAACCAAGACATATTTAATTGCTGCATTTAATTTCGACCATGGTGGGAAGCTTGAATGGAATAGATGCAGGAAAGGGGCTCTATCAATCTTAGTTTGGGGTCATGGAAACTTTGACTGTTCGTGAGTCATAAGAAAGAATCATGACAGAATTTGTAAAAAGTGATGCTCAAACAACGGAGGGCAACGATCAAATTGAGTGAAGAGCAACAGAGTTGTATACGCAAAATGACACGATAACGTGAAACTTCTTCATAAATTTCGCAGAGATCTCTTTACTCTTCTATGTACAGACTATACTTAGAATCAGCCTGAAAGGCGCAACGCTTCTGCACAAATTTGTCTTTTATGTATAGAAAATCATATTCAATGTTGAACGCTAGCAGTTCAACATATGTATAGAAATTGGGTTTAGATGTCTCCGTCCCAGAGCTCCTCCACCGTCTTGTATGGACTGGTTTTGTCATTTATCCACATGTCGTCTCCAAGGAGAAGGCGGTGCTGCTCAATTTTGTCGAATTCCTTGAGATCTTCTTCATTGAGTTCGAAGTCGAAGATCTCAATGTTGGACGCAAGCCGATCAGCGTGAGTGCTCTTTGGCAGCACGCTATGACCTTGTTGGATGTTCCATCGGAGAACTATCTGTGATGGAGACCTTTTGTATTTCTCAGCCAATTTCGTGACTGTGGGAAGCTCTAAGACGTTAATTGTTGCGAAGGGACTGTTTGAGGATCCGATTGGAGAGTAAGCCTGCACAATAAGAAAGTACACGCCAAGTTGACAACATCCTCAAGTATGCATGAATCCGTATGCTGCTGTTCAACAATTAGCGAACTCAAGAAACTTAGCGATGCAACGAGCTGTAGAAGAGGTTATGTGCTTACTGTCAAGTGAATGCCCTCGGACTTTAAGTATGGCCACAACTTCTTCTGCTGCCAAAGAGGGTGGCATTCCACCTGGTTCACAGCAGGTCGTACTTTGCATTTAGACAACAAGTCCTTCGTTTTCTCTACAGAGAAGTTACTGATTCCGATAGCCTTCGCTTTCCCCTTCTCGTAGCACTTTTCCATAGCTGCCCATGTCGCCGCGACATTGAGAGGAGCAAAGTCATCTGGACCTGTGCCTTGAGCATCCTTCTTCAAGGCGACCGGCCAATGCATCAGGTACAGATCAAGGTAGCCACATTGCAAACGCTCAATCGACCCGTCCAATGCCGGCTCCACATCCGCAGGGTTGTGGTCAGTGCACCAAAGTTTCGACGTGATCCACAAGTCTTCACGCTTAACAACGCCTTCCTTGAAAAGCTCCTGCAAAGCTTCTCCCACCTCGTCCTCGTTTTTGTAAGCCTTGGCGCAGTCGATGTGGCGGTACCCAACTTTTACAGCTTCCTTGACAGCTTGTTTAACCAAGCCTGGATCCGCCTGCCAGGTTCCTAGCCCAACGGCGGAAATACATGTGCCAGTGTTCAACTTAAGCTTCGGCATAGCCTCCAATGCTTGATTCACCATTCTCGCTGCAATCGCTTTCTCTCACGCAATAAAATCGTTCCTGTAAATTACAGACAAATCGGCGCAAATTCAAACACAACTCAAACACCTCGTAGCTTAAGACATAGCTAGATTGTTGAGAACACAAAATTCAACCAGAACCAAACTGCACATGAACGACTACGACACACCGTCCAATGCAGAGCAACGAAAGAAGAAAGAATCGTCCAGAAAACTACCTTCAGGGCTACAATTGACGACGAATTCCTGTAGCCAAAACCTGCAGTCTCCGTTCCAAACAGCAACGAATGAGACCCTGAGCTTTCAATGGAGATGTGGAGCAATGTTTGCATGAATTTGCTCTGTATGTAGATGATTATTCGCGCTTATGGTTGTGCGAGAAATGGTGTAGAAGAATTGACGTGGAAACACGTGGAAGCCATTAAGGTTGGGTTTGTGCACGAGGCCGAAGCTCGCCATTTGGCGTGGCTATGGCGAGGCCGTGGCACCAATTCTTGGACTGCATGCAGATTTTCGGCGCGGTGATTCCCACCCACTTTGCCGCTTCTCCTCCTCTTCCACAAAACTGCTTCTGTTCTTTCATGCATTAAGTACTATTTTTCTTTGTCCTTAAGCTTGGAATTTCACTTGTCTTTCACATTTTTGAGTGAAGGATTTCTTTTGGTTGCATTCATTTAAAAACTCGAGAGTTTTCCCAACCGATGTTGTTTGTGTTGGGCTCATTTTTTATTTACACCCAATGAATCAAATTGGGAGGTTACAAGATTCACAGCAACGACGACAACAGGCTTGATTTTTTGGAATGTTCTTGGAGAGGTGCATTTCTACCGAGCATTGTTTGCATGTTGCATGAACATAATGTAATATGCCCTAAATAAATAAGTATATATATATATATATATATATACATATATTTATACATGATTTTCATTCTATACATATATATATAAACGCATAGAATACAATTAGAGAAAAGCAGTGGAATTGAGATCGGGAGGATTTTAAAACTGATTGCACTTTATTGAAGGTTTTGAGGGAAGCAATGCAATTGTATTGATAAAAAAACCCAATTCAAGAGAACCTAGTGTAGGGAAGGAATTCAAAAATTAGTATGTTTTTTGGTTTTAGATGGAGTTCTGGAGGTTAGGAAACAAGAACGATATGTAAAATTTTCATGCTCAATTATACAAAATGGATAATTAATGTTTTTGATTTTTATTTATAACCATTACTAATGCGTGTTTATTTATGTTTATCAACAGGTTCACCATAGAAGAATGTGTAGTTGTCTACCCGACATGAAATATTCTATTTGCGTTGAAACATAGAAGTTAGTGGTTTAATGTAAATGTATGAGGGAAATATAAAGAAACATGCTTTTAATAAATTTATTATGATTAGTTACAACTCAATCAAATTTATCAATTTGCACTGTGTTCATACACAATGACTCATTTGTGCCAGTTTAAATACAATGTATACATTACTGTTTCAAAAATAAGTAAGTGTCACCGTTTGGGGACGTTTTTATTCCTTGCAAGGTGGAAAAAAAAGGCTGTGCAAGAAGGTTCATGGTCATCTACACAAATTCACACGCAAGTACTTAATCATCTCTACATCTTGCACTAAGAATGATCCACCGCCAACTGCAACAATCTTCTACTCTACTATTGATGTCTCAGATGGGAATAACACCACAATACTTTGTTGGCTAAACTAACTTGATTTGTGCAGATGACCTGAGTGTTATTGTTCAGCTTTTCTGCCTAGTATGCATCCATTTGTGGCAGATGCGTTTGTTCAAACTCAGAAATTAATATTACATTTATGTGCCATGGTGGCAAGTCAAGGCATCCTTCACCTTGGAGGCAATTCCCTTCTTCTCTTTCTCGTAAAAGGGGAGCTCGCCTGTAATTCTCATCTGCTCAGCTTTGTCATTTAACTCGGCGATTTCACGTTTCTTCAATTCCTCTTGCTCAGCTTTAGACTGTTATTAACAACTTCCATGATCAGAAATTTTGCAAAATGCACCTTCAAATAATACAATACGAATACACTAGCTGATCATGTTAATAAAGAAATGCTCAGCTTTTGACGGGTATTACAGCAACCAAGAAAGAAAGTAAGAAGGAAGTGTAGACCAGACAAATGTTAGTTCTTACCCGCTCGGCTTGAGTATGTGAGTCAGCAATGCCTTTCTCACATTGCTCTGAAGCAAATGCTTTTGTTTTTGCTGCTTCTTCCTTAGCATTTGCGACAATTTTATCGGCTTTCACCTGCAATTTGCACATAAGGAAGCCAAAAGGAAGCACTGCAAATTTACCACTTCAAATCCGGTGTATTACGAAATGTGTCTTCGTGAAGATGAAACATACCTCAGCAGTACGAATGGCCTGCTCAGCCTTGGCTTCCTCACGCTTTTTATGCTCAATAGCTCGTGCTTCATCTTTCATCCTCTTCTGCTCTATCTTTGACTGCAAACCACTCCAAACCACTTCAAAGTCAGCTAGATTTTGCTTTCCTCGCAAAAGGTTCGAATTGAGATAGAGCAGCTTGTCCAGTCTTAAACCGTGAGTTATCAAAGTAGAATCATTTAAATGCATCAATCCAGCACAAACTACATCATTTAAAGCATCATATGAGAAACGTTTAAGATAGGCCGACCTCTGCTGTTGCAGCCCGCGCCTCAGTCTTGCGAATCTCTGACTGCAAGTAGGCATTCACTTCAGCTTCTACCCTCTGCTTGTGAGCATCAGCCATAGCCTCGGCCTTCACATTTCGTGTTCTAGGGGATGTTAAACCTGAACACCACTTCGAGTCAAAACATGACACATCCAATCCTCTTAGATACCTTCAAATAAATAAATAAATAAATAAATAAATAATTACAGGATCTAGATGCATGCCGACGATGAGATGTTCAATTTCACGCACCTCTCCCAAATCCTAAGACATTATAAAACTAAACATTACTAGGGGACCAGAAAAAGCTTCTTTCAAGTAACTGTACGAGGTTTTGCGCGACTCATCCCGAACAACTGACTTCCACCAGAAATTGTGTCTCACTGCCAAGACAACAAATGCATTATCCCTGACTACTTGAAGGAAGACATGGAACATTCCAGTAGATACTCCGACTCCTTTTGCGAGCTTCGTACCCGAGTTTGAATCGAAACTACTCGCCATGGGAGCACCGTCGGGATGATCCGCATCGGGACGAACCATAGACGACATCCTGTCTTTCGAACTTGAAGCACCTCGTACTGATCTCGCTCTCTCCTCCTTTATTGAAAATCAAAATCTTAACTACACTCTTCCAATACGAGCAACAAAATACGACGAAATGTTGAGTGCTTGAATCGTAAGTCCGATAAGCAATCCAACAGCTTCATGCTCTTCACCGAAGCTGGTCCACCGCTCACGTCAAATCTTCCGTCATCCAACGGCTGGATTCGTGCCATGTTGGCTCGCATCTGGGCACAGTAGGCTGCCAGTACTTGAATTTTGCCAAGTGTCATGATCGTAGGGTGCCAAGTGGATATCCACGTCAAATTTCCCCATTGAGGGAGCTTATGTGTCAGGCCATTCAACACGGCTAAATTCAGTAAATGGCTCTAATATCAGTGACGACTTTCATTGATACGATTTTCGTTGCCTCTTCCTCGGTTTGATTTTGTATAGGTCGGTTGTATTCTACGTATAGTTGTACATTTGATGTTATTTCGCAAATTTCTATAACAAATTTAGTCTAACCTTGTACAATTTCTAAGGAAGCTTAGGTATTAGGTATGTGAAAAAGAAGTCTTCTCATTGGCTGAAATCAAAGAAATTGTTCACAAATATATATATATATATATATTAGGATTGGCTTGAATATATATGTGATTCATTTTTATGCTGAGTACCTTAGGTTTTATGTTCAGTAAGGATGAAAATTGTTTTTACATGTGAATACATTTGTATTAACAATGTGATAATGATTTACTTGCATAAAAATACTAGATAAACTTTATTTTTATTTTAGGACAAAACAGAAAAACGAAGGTTCCAAGCATTCATTCATATGAGTTTGTTAAGAACAATGTTTTAGAAGTTGATGTTTTAAATACATTTCATGGCCTTCTTTGCAAAAGTTTGAACCTATAATTTTTAGAAATGTTTTCGGTCGGAATATTAACTTAAAATCTTGGTATTATTTTGATTTTTTCATAATATGTTCAGGGCAAATAATGAGGCAATACACTAACAACTATATATAACTAAAAGAATTTCCAAGACTACTATTCAAGAAATTTTATTACTGTCAAGAAATGTCTGCAAGGGTTTCATTCAAACATTATTAATCAAATTGATTCTGAAGTTGTCATTGTAAATCAATGATCCACGATCCATGTTTTCATTTATGTATTTATTTTTGTACAGTAAAAGTTTTGGAATGTCCATAACACCAAGTATAATGTTTATTATTTATTGTTTTTTTTTGGTTATAAAATTCCTTTTAGCTCAAATATGAAATTCTCATTCCCTTATCCATTAGTGGAAACTTTGAGAAGTTGTCTCATTCAAGGCAATAAAATCTTCGTAGTTAAAGAGAAGATCATCAACATAATCAAGTTCAAACCATATAGTGGCCTCTTTGATTTGCAACTTTTTCTATGAAAAGCATTGGATGATGGGTACATCATTGACACCTAGCATGATAGAGTACATAAATAAATAAATGTATACATATATATATATATATATATATATATGTGTGTGTGTGTGTGTGTGTAGTTATATATATTTGAAAAAATACAATCTATAAAAAGAAGTTATAGAAATCAAATAACGCTCTTTCATATTTATATTTAAAAAATATATATTTTAATTTGTTAACATGTAAAAAAAAAAAAAAAAAAACCATGGTAAGTAATGTATGTCTGTGAATATAATAATAGTAATACTAATAATAACAATTTAAAGAATACAAAGTAATCATATACATCTGGGCCTTTGGGTAATTGTTTTTTGAATTTGAATTAATAAATCTAGTGAGAATTTGTAGAACACAAAATAGTCTTACTGTATCTTAGGAGTAAATACTACTTACCTTGTATGGAAATGGACATTCACAGACGAACCTGTGGCAAGACGTGAAACCTCGACGGAAAGAGGTAGCAGTGGAAAATCGTCGAGAGGGGGGCTGAGAAGACGGAATTAGTGTTTTTTCCGTTATTGCGTTCTTCGTCCTCCGGAGGGTGTCCTTGTCATTCATTGTGGTGTCCAAGCTGTGTGGCCGGAGTTTGAAGCCCTATTTTGCAGTCCTCACCTTCCTCAAGTTTTTTTCTCAAGCCTTCTTCGGATCCATTCTACCGATCCGTTGGTTCTTTAATCGCGAGACCAGCAGCCATCTACGCTTCCACTTCGTCATCATGCAGGCCCCCGTGCTAGTCCTTAGTACGTAGCTCTTCTCTGTATTTCTGTAGGGTTTACGTGGTGTTCGCTTCAGAGGTTTTGGGTTTTGGAGCTGATGATGTTTGGTAGCAGGGTGTACAGCTGAGTTCGCTCTATTGTGTGATGATTTATATATATGGATTCCAATTTTCAGGGTCTACCTAACGTCTTTTTTCTTTTCTTTTTTTCTTTTTCTTACAAATGCTGTATCTGAATCTTCCACGTCGTTGCGTTCTCAGATGAGTCCACAAAGAGAGAAACAGGAGGTCGGGTGCATCATGCGAATATCCAGGCCTCTAAGGTTCACTTCTTTCCTGTTCCACGCATTTTTCTGTAAATGCGCCTCATGGTGTTGCAGGACGCTATACATTATTGTGCAGTTTGTATGAGATTTCGAGCATTGTTAGTAATTTTCGCATGAGAATATGCGATGCAGTTTGCTTGGAGTATACTGTATTATTTTCTTGCCATTCCTGTGAGGATAGATTCGATGCTTTATTCCATCTTATAACTCTCGTTTATGCAAGAATTTCAGTGTTATCAATCCCAAATATATTGGTCGTGTGAATGTTTCTGTGTATCGTTCTTCATTGTCATTTAGAAGTTGACGTGCCGATGTTTGGATTTGAACTTCCCTCATATTTTGCAGGCGGTGGCAGATGTTATTCGAACAACATTAGGGCCCAGGTCTATGCTTAAGATGCTTCTCGATGCCAGTGGAGGTACGCCTTTACTCAAGCCGCAAATAATTATCCTCTACCGTGATTTTCACGTTGACGCTCTCCAGATCTGCACGTTGTGACATTGTCTCTACGTTATTTGTTTTTGTGACGGGGTGTATGCTGAGGGTCTTTGCTAACTTGGCAGGTATTGTACTCACTAATGATGGAAACGCAATCTTACGAGAGCTTGATGTCTCCCATCCTGCTGCAAAGGTTAGTCCTTTCAGTCATGACGATTAGTCCCTGCATCGAATTGCAATGATTGATGTCGTGTTTCGAGTTAACTACGCAATGAGGCTGATTTTGCAATTCGTGATATGTAATATTGACTTTGCTGCACACTTGCAGTCTATGATAGAACTAAGTCGTACGCAAGATGAAGAGGTTGGTGACGGAACGACGTCAGTGATCATTCTAGGTTATTTTCTCTCCTCTAATTTCGAACATTATTCAATCTCATCATGGTAGATGTCGTTTCCATTTTGAATATCTACTTATAATCACTACTCCAGTCTTCTGAAATCTTCTGTCATTCAGCAGTTATCTCTTTTCAGTGGCTTAACACTTTATGAAAGGTCACCCTGTGGTTCTTGACTCGCACATTGAGAAGTTTGTTTTTAAATTTGAGATGAATAGATGCCTAAGTTGTATGGCTCAATTTCTCATGATCACCGAGGCAATTGCCTCGTGTCTACTTCGACATTTCTTTCAAGATCTTTACTTTGAATGAGCTTGGCTTTCTTTCAAGATCTTTACTTTGAATGAACTTGCAGCTGGTGAGATGCTGTACGTTGCCGAGCAGTTTCTTGATAGGCAGTTCCACCCCACCGTTATATGCCGAGGTCAGTACATTAAAATCTTCTATTCGGGGCTTCTCTATTAGTTACTTCCAATATCCAGTATTCTACAGTTGAAGGGAATGAACCTTCAAAACTTATATATTGATTGGGGTTGTGCATTTGCACAGGCTTCGTTTACACTGTTCTGTATTACGCTGGCATATTTGTACAAGGATGGATGTCAGTCACTAGTGAAGTTTTGCAAGTTGTAGGAGATGTGCCGGTCATAAGTGGTCTCTAATTATCGGTTGGCGACTGCTCTAATGTCTACACGTAGCTGTGACTTGCCGTTCTGTCTTTAAACATGCAATGTTTCCTGCGCCCGAGTGCAGCTTATACGAAGGCTTTGGAGGATGCAGTCGCTGCTCTGAAGGAAATTGCTTTTGACATTGATATCACAGATCGTGAGTACTCTTTTGATGTGTGTTATTTTTCTAGTGGTATGATTGTACGGATGATGAATTCAAACAGTTATGACGCCTCAGTGATGTCTATGCTTGTGTCTTTTCGTTCTCGTAATTTATTGAGAGATATCAAGACAACCTCTTTTTATTATCAAGACTTCATCTATTTATTTGTATGTGTTGGTTTCTTGTTGTTCTGTTTTGATAAACATGTAGTGGAGTTGAAAGAAAAATTGTTACTTATCAATTTGTGCAGGTACAATGATGTTGAATATTGTGCGAAGTTGTATCGGCACAAAGTTTACAAGTCGGTTTGGAACTCTTATTGCAGTAAGTCGTCACACCTCTGATTCGTGGTTAACTTCGCATTAGTTCAATCTGATACTGTACCTCTGAGAAAGGTTGTGTTTGTTGTTAACATGTGCATGTGAGTTTTGCGATCCCTTTTTTGTCCCAATGGTGGATATATCGACAGTAAGGGCGGTAGTAAAATTATCTCAACGCATCTCATTGTATATTTGGATGTAATAATGAGTAAAGTTTAAATGCAGGACTTGGCAATTGATTCCGTCGCTACTATATCTGTTGACCTGGGAAATGGTCTTCGAGAAGTTGACATCAAGAAGTATATCAAGGTGGAAAAGATTCCAGGAGGGCAGTTGGAAGATTCAAAAGTGCTTAAGGGAGTCATGTTTAACAAGGATGTGGTTTCTCCTGGAAAAATGCGACGGAAGATTTTAAACCCTCGTATCATACTTCTGGATTCTCCTCTGGAATACAAGAAGGGAGAGAATCAGACTAATGCAGAGATCATGAAAGAGGAGGACTGGTAAAGTGTCGAACTTGATTTGTCGGCTCATTCTCCTGTAATCTAGTGTACAACCCCTTCCACACACCCCCCCCCCCCCGAAGTGCGCGCACACACAGTATCATTTCCCATGATTTTGACTTATGTTGATGCTTGATTCAGGATACCAGTTTCTCTGTTCCTCCTTCAAGTGTTTATTTTTAATCAATAGCTTAAACTCCAAACAATCCATTGCATGACAATCTGTGTTGTAGGATATCTTGACCACTACAAATGTATTCAGAGCTTGTTTGCTGCCTCTTTTTACTTGCAGGGCTACGTTACTGCGAATGGAGGAAGAGTATATTGAGCAGTTGTGTGTTCAGATAATCAAGTTTAAGCCTGACTTGGTGATTACCGAGAAAGGATTGAGTGATCTGGCCTCGCATTATCTTAGCAAGGCAGGTATTAGTGCAATTCGCAGGCTAAGAAAGACTGATAACAACCGTATTGCCCGTGCCTGTGGGGCCACTATTGTAAATCGGCCAGAGGAACTTCAAGAGAGTGATGTTGGTACGCGTTGTGGCTTGTTTGAGGTCAAAAAAATTGGAGACGAGTACTTCACTTTTATTGTCCAGTGCAACGAGCCGAAAGCTTGCACAGTCTTGTTGAGAGGTCCCAGCAAGGATCTTTTAAACGAAGTGGAACGCAACTTAGCGGTGAGATGAATTTTTATTGCCATTGCTGTCCGTGGTTGTTTGTATTGTTCTTGTTGAGCAGTATGTCTGGATGGTTTTTCATTGTCCTTCTCTTAAAGATGAATACCATGTTTGTGAAGATGTATAATTCTGATCTGGTTTTGAGTCGACATGACAGGATGCCATGGGGGTAGCTCGCAACGTTATTAAGGACGCAAAATTGGTCCCAGGTGGAGGAGCCTCAGAAATGGCTGTTTCAGCTATATTGAAGAAAAATAGTATGTCGATTGAAGGCGTTGAACAGGTCAGTCATTGTATATAAAGCATTTGGATTGGAGTTTTTGTTTTGATGTAGTTGAAGCAGAGTACAAAATTTCTTGGATGTTTATTTTTGAAGGTAATCTTCAACTTTTAATTTAAAAAGAGTGTTGTTATTGACCCCCTGGAAAAAAATGGTCTGTTCCGTGATATATTCTGTTGAGGGACCTGTTGAAAGTATTGTCTTATATTTCCAAGAGTCCTGAGGTATTCTGGTTCTGTTATCCGTATTGTTGGTGGCAGTGGCCATACAGAGCAGTGGCGCAAGCCCTTGAAGTTATTCCTCGAACTCTAGCTCAAAACTGTGGTGTGAATGTGATACGGACCATGACTGCCCTTCAAGCGAAGGTTTGCTCTCTGTTTTCAACCTGTCAATTCCTCCAGCTTCATTTTATGTTGGTTACCTTTATATCCTTTTGTTTCAAGCTTTTCTTAACGTGGTAGTAGAGACCAAGTTTTAATTTTTTTACCTAGTTAAGATGTTTGCCATTGGTTCCGAAGTTATTTGAAGTCTTGCACATGTTGTCTTTACCGTCAGTAATCATTGAATGACGTGTTCATGTTTATTTGCAGCATGCCAATGCTGAGAATCCTATGTTTGGTATTGATGGCAACACTGGAGAATTAACGGACATGAAAGAACTCGGGGTGATTATTCTTCCTCGGAATATTTTCTGTCTTTCCTTCGTTATGTAGATCGAAATTTTAGTTTCAGAGTCAATTTGTCGTTGCGTGTATTTCATTTGTATTGTTTCAGTTTCTTAGTCAGTTTATTGGTTATGAATAAGCAGGTGTGGGACTCGTTTGGAGTCAAGTTACAGACTTTCAAAACAGCGATAGAAGCTGCCTGCATGCTTTTAAGAATAGATGACATTGTAAGTGGTATTAAGAAGAAACAAGCCCCAGGCGCTGCACCCAAGCAGCCTATGACATCGACCGGGGAAGATGTTGATAGTGAGCAAATGATTCCGGAGTAGTTTTACGTAGAGTGAAATGAATGTTAAAAATCCCTTATGGATCAGCACTACCTATATATTTATTGCTGCTGTCTGCCCAAATTTCTATGTGTTGGGGGATACCGACTTAGAGGTGGAATGCTGGTTACTTGAGTGACTTTAGGGCCTGCTTTAAACATCCTAGTTTTGAACTAGGAGGGAAGATGGATGAGGACCTTGCCAGTAGTGAATAGGTCTTCTGCTGCCGTCAGCATCAGGGGTTAGCTTGCATTCTTTGTCAGGGAGCTGAGTCAAATTTTGAAGTTCGGTATCGAAGTTGTTCCAATTAAGTTTAATGGGAAATAAACTATAGGATATGATTCACAGTATGGTAATTGTATTGGTACAAGCCATAGTGGCTCTCTAGGTGGTTACTAACAAGTGGACCAGCAATGGTTTATCCTTGGGCGACAAGCCTTATTCATAGGCTTTTTCACATTTGAAAGCGCGGATTGGAGTTTGATCCTAGGGGTGGTTTATGGATGAGGATAAGACGAACAGTATTCGACGAACTCAACCACTGAGAGGCCTTGGTAGTGTCTTTGCTGGTGCTTATCTCTAATTTGTCGATTTTGGCTTTCAGAGATTTGATGCAGTTTGATCTTGTGAACCTGTGCGTGACCTTGTTGACGTTGTCGTCAACAATGATGTTAATATACTTCATTCCTAGAGCCGGCCATTGGGCTGAGTTTCCCTTACTTTGCAATAAGTCGGGAGTTCATCTCGTTCCATGACTAACTGCTTCTAACAATGATTCTATTGCATGCTCAGGGACTTGGCGCGTGCATAGACTGCTGTACGAGACTATGCCTCTTAACGGGAGCGTTGAATTCGAGCAAAGCTTTTGTTCTGGGAGCTCTGCCTCTTCAGCCCCGGATGTGTCATGAGTCTAGATGGGGTGCTTGAAGCAGGTCTGCTTTTTTAATTTTCACAAGGTACACTCGATCTAATTCAAAGCTGGTTGCAAGGGTGTTCACTGTAGCTTATTCGACACCTGTCTTAGACATTATCTTAATAGATCCATCCACACCTATGTCATGTGATACCTTGTGCTGTGTGTCCTGTCATTGCTCCCGGAGTACTGACATAGTCACTTGTGTGATCTGATTCTTCCATCCACCTAGGATACAGGTGGCACTGGATGGGGCCTGTCTTGTGGGTGTCGTACATTGTTACTTATATTATGGAGGTTCAAATAATTTATTTACATGGTTCTTGTTATGCCCCACACGACTTGTCCTCTGAAATGCCTTCAATCCTCATTATTTGTGCCAAGTGGATGAAGACTCAGCATAATGACTATATATGTGGTTTGCTGTGCAACACTTGCTGCGAGGTGTCTTGCTGATGCATTTCCTTGTTATCTACTGCTAGAACAGTGCTCTTACCTCAAGATCAAATGTTCCATTTGCTTCTCTACACCTAGGGCTCTTCTAACAAAGCTGCAGGACCCTCTCCCCTGTTTCACTACTGAGGCAAATCTTCCACGGTATTTTATCTTATATCAAATTAATTATATACTCTCACACACACACACACACACACACATATATATATATATATACATGGGTATTTGCCCACTGTCTTTATTCTGGTAATCCTGTGCAGCAAGGGTGAGTTGGCAGCCTCTATTTCATCACCACAGTTACAAAAGTGGGACAAATCACTAATTAGTCAGCTGATCAATCAGTTGTGTTATTCTTTTGGGAACTCATGTATGGATGGTGGGTTCTGAAGATACGTTAACAATATTTTTCTCACCTTGAGAGTTGATTTCGATCTTGATTGTCCAAGATCAGGAAATGCAGTAAACCAAAGAAGTAAACAGAATCCTTAAGCGCTCATTGACGTTGAGAAAGTATCACTTATGGGACTTGATGGGAACTCATTAACACTAATTAAATTCTAAAAAATGAGAGACAACTTTTGTTGTGCAGCCATTTTTCAATTGAGATGGATGGGGGGACCTTTGGGATCTTGAGTTGGTTGCTGTGTGGGCAATTTGTTCAACCCTATCTAAAGCAACATGAAATCATTAACTTTTCATACATTTGCAACAATTTAAAAAAAGATCAATCTCGAGTTATTATTTTTATAATGATGTAGTACTCATGCCACCAATCATGGTGCCACAATCTCGAAGTCTAAGCTTGTACACGTTTAGTTGACATCACCATGAAGCACCTTGACCATTTTCTGTAAAGAGGGTGGGTTCTTGCACTTGAATAAGGAGAATAATTGTTACAATAATAGCATTTTAATAAGGTGGTTAATTTATGTGTATATTTTGATTGATTGCAGATAAGAACATGTGGAACCATCAGGCTTAATAATGATAAAAACTAACAAACCTCCAACAACTGCAACAGATGGGTGGATGAATAGACAGATAAAGTTACTATATGATTTTCAATCCATTGGTGCACAGCAGCTAGTGATTCTGTTGGGATTGAAGCCCAACTTGCACCTAAAAAATAATACAATCATATGTTTTGTTTAATTGTTTTTTTATTTTTATTTATTTTTTTATTTTTTTATGAAGAATGTTCTAAGTTAATTCATCTAAAATTCATCTAGAATGGCTCTTCATGGATAGTTCAACTTTTGCAATTAACTGAAGATTAACTTCTTTTTTTTGGCAATTGAGCAATTAACCAATTTGGATAATAAAAATGAAAAATGTCACGTAGGCTAAGTTTAGGTGATGACTTGCCACAAATTAATAAAAAATTACACTTGTGTCATTACAGCGTCAACTTCTTGCAAAAGATTGTCTGAAATTTTAATGAAAAGTATCATGCCATGAAACTGTTCCAGAAAACTGCACAAAAAAATAAAATAAATTAAGGAATGCTATTTTTGAAACTAATGATTTTTTTTGTTTTACATCAGTTTTTCTTTATATATATATATATATATATATATATATATATAAACAGATATATGTTTCGTTACTTTGTTTTATTTTACTTTTTCTTTTCACTATTATTACAGGATAATTATTAGAGGATATCTATTAAGTTATTGTAATAAAACTTTCAATATTGAAATTTACACCACTGGATAGGGGGAGATAATTTCCTTACAAAATGAATGAGTTTTAGCCAGTTTCTGTGTAGCAAGTGTTGTTTGATTTTGTTATTGTTATTTTTAATGGTTTATCATTCATCATATTCTTTAACCACCATGTGAAGAATACACTGGAATGTACGATCCTAGACATGGATCAGTACACAAGTTTTTTGTCACTATTTATTAATCTGTTTCAATCAATCATTCAATCGGTGCCCTACAATTTGTTCTAACAGATCTTACGTCTTGGTTTAGATTCTTTTCTTGCTGCCAATTGGTATTGTACACAGCTATTACTTTCAAGCATAAAATCCACTTGTTTACAATTATGTGATTATGTGTATTCACATACATCTGTGTGTGTGTGTGGAGAAAGAGTTTCAGGGCAGGTTCCTTCCTCCGAAAGAGGATAGAAAGGAAGAAGGGAGAAAAGGAATAGAAGAGCACTTTTGTATGATGTCTAGTCTACTTGCTATGGAAACAATAGCCGTGGTTAGAACCAGCAAGTGCCAACTAGAACGTGTCTCACAAAGCCACCGCTCATGAAATCGGATCAGTCAATCAGTCTGTGAAAGCTGCGGGAGCACCGAAAGGGGCTGCGATGTAATCTGGTCTAGATCGCCTTACCAGTACCACTCCAGTCTAGTTCAGCAATTCTCGCTCAGATCTGCCTGAGATTCTTGCTAGGGCAGCAAAAATGGCCCCGTGTGGTCCATTTCACCACCCTCCGGCGTGGGAAATCTCTAGTTGATGTACCCCTCAGCGGCATTTTCAATGCTAGTTTTTAACACTGGGAATGTACCTCCCACTTGTGAATGGCGATGCAAGCGCCACGAGGAGCTTGCAGAGCAGCATTAATACATACAACCGAACTGTACTGGACCATGTGAAGAGCCTCCGTGTTGAGCTGTGGAGTTCCTTGTCCTCTCAAGGCTCTGCCACTTTAAGCCCATTTCACACACTCTCCTGTGCGAAGTACCACATCTGACTTGGAAGGGGAGAGAAGGGAAAGCGTAGGAAGGGTACTAGCATTTGTTTGGATTTTGGAACTTAAACGCAAACAATGTGAAACCTAACACAACGTTAAACCCTTAGCACAGCAATCCAGAGGCACTGGTGGGCGCCTCTTGACCGGAACGATTACGCGTTGATTTCCGTCCAGGACCAGGGTCCTCATCCCGCAAGCTCGCGCTAAGATTTCCAGCGTCAGAGGATTCTCAACCTACGAGCAGACAGACTGTCGACGCAGTTGTAAGTAGAATCCAAGCAGCCTTTCTTCACCTGCTGGGGAAGAGACCCTACTTGAGACGATTGTGGGTCCTGGAGGAGTAACGCTTTCCTTCCGACGGGGTTTCCTTTGTGCATGTTGGACTTGAGATTCTTCACTCTCTTGCGGCATGGTTTGAAAATGGAGTGCCATGATGTTAGGTTTAGCCTGCTGTAGATTCTGTGGTTAGTGATTCCAGTTCATCCGTAGTGGTCACCCTCATGCCATGGGTCCTGCTGGGAGAATCATACAACAGTTAGGATAATAGTTATCGGCAAGGTTATATTTCTGTATTCATGTGCAAAAACTGAAGTAAATATTTCTCATCCACCCTTTTGGGTTATATCTCTTTGCCATCGGTTCAAGCATGTTTTCAAGTTGGACTTTATCCGGGGTCAATGTGACGAAATACACGCCAACAAGTTTTTTAATACATGCACATAAATCTGCATAATTTGATGAATTGTGAGAAAATGATCACGTAGAGGATCAGCTTGGGTGATCAGAACCACCATACATGTCAGATTTTATTCATCTACAAGATCAACGGAGCTCAACCATGAGAGTGTGAGGGGTGGATATAGGTTTTAAAGGGGATTTTGCAAATTATTAAGGAACTTTCTTAAACAAGACCATATCTCATTTAGAGTTCTCAAACGTGAATCATGTGTGAATGCAGATGTTGACTCTGCCCGAAACTCCGCCACCCCTACCCGGCTTCCCTTCACCACGTTTGGTGTAAAACATTGTGAGAACAGCGGCTCTACCATTTTCACGACCTCAAAGACTACAGTGCGCTGGGGTGAAAGCGACAATTTAACTCGGAAATCGTAATCTGCACGAAACGATGACGATCTCGATCAGATGTGCCTCCTTCGCCGCATGCTTCTTAGCGCCTACCGTGCCCAAATCCACATCGACGTAACGCTTATTTTTCTTTCTTTCTTTCGCACAGCACAGTACGCAGCAAGGATGGGAGGCGGCAGCATCGAGACTAATGACTACTACTGATACCATACATGGAGAGGAAGATTCGGCATGGATCGAGTTCTTCCCCACCCCCACCGTCTGAATCGCGTCATCTGGTCCGGCAGGACGCCCACCGAATATGGACGGTCACGCGCCAGTCGCCTCTGACACCTCAAAGTCCAGGCTCCGGTGGGGGTGAGATCGGCGGTGAGATGGCCCACAAACATAGCAGCAGCAGCAGCAGCGGAGGAGTGTTGGGGTCCTGACCTCCTCCCCATGTCAGTGAGGAAGCGCGGCCACTCGCATTCGCACCACCGAAGTCGCGCCCCCGAGCCTTTGTTCTGTTCGCCGCGCTGGGCCTTCTTCGCCACCATCGCCTCCATGCCCCGGATCCACGCCTGTCGTCGTTCCGCCGTCAGACCGCCATCGCCGTCGCCGTCGCCGTTCATCCTCGCCACCACCAATACGTCTTTTTATGTTGCCGGCGTCGTGTCCATGGATTTTACTTCTGTATATTGCAATCATTATGACTTCGTTTTTGTTGATTTTATAAGAAATAAATAATAAAATAATAAATTATTTTTTAAGCTTTTAGGGTTTATTAATTTGATAATTTAATCATTCTCTTTTAAACACAAATATGCTAAATTAGTAATTTTAAATATATGCATTTTTTTTCTTCAAAATAAAAATATTCTTATTTGGCTTGGTAAGTTCTTACATAGAAAATAATTTCTTTGGAATGATAGATATGAAGGAATCAACAAAGATTGGTTATCTAATAAGCATGATTTAAATATTAAATTATAGAATATAAAATTCATAATATGAATGATTGAATCAGAATTTTTAATAAATAATAAACACTCTTAAAAAAATAAAGCACATTTGTTTATAAG